GCGAGCCGCGGGTTAGCCACCCCTGGCGTAGATGATAGTGCGACAGATTTCTTGGTGGTAAACAAAGCAATATGGAAGCGAGTGTTCTTTCTTTTATCATGCTTTTTACCGTCCTCAAAATGGTCGAAAAGCAGCGGAGGATCAACTCTTTGCTACTACTGAGACAACAGCTTAAGGGGCGATCTCCGAGCTTTGCTGTGGGGGCGTGCTATATACGAGGCCAATGGCGCGCGATGTTATGACGCAACATGTACCCCCCTATGTCATCACGTAATTACCGGGAAGTCCCGTGTTCGGCTTTCAAACAGCAAGCGGAGGCAATCGGAGGCGATCACAACCCGCCTCCGATGGCATGCTGGTGGACACGGATCGACACGGATCGACACTGGCCAGTGAGCCTTTCCCACTGCCCAAAAAAGTGTGTTTAGCCCTGGTTTTGCGGCAGTGGGAAAGAGGTACTAAAGAGTCACAGTATCTAATCCTCTATTTTTGGAATGGAGTGGAATACTATAGAGTGCAACCAGCGTGACAAATGTTAGAGGTAGATGAGAACAGCGGAGCTGAAGTTGACATGCGAAAAAAATTGGCTCGTGTAAAAAGTTAAGTTATAACCTTGCTTGTATTTTGAAATATGAATGGTATTTTCGTTCTGGATAGTTTTATTATATTGTATTTCATCGATAATCATTATATTTTTCTAATTTTGAATAGGTTCAAAAATGATATATTTATCAATATTGGATTAAGTTAAATTCTTCACAATTAAACCTGCATTATTTTGCTCTTCAGTTTAATATGAACTAATACTAGAACTCAGGCAGTTTTAATTTGGAAAGGTTTTTTTTTTTTTTTGCACATTTGTTAATTTATCTGAAATGAATCCTAAATTTAGAGAGAGTTGTTTGTGTTCTGTTTAGGATTTTTACAGTGTCACAGTTTTGTATTTTGTCAGAAGTGAAAGAAAAGTGTTTATTTAAAATGATCAATTGTTTGTTTAAGTTTTATGCATCCAAAGTACTCGTGCTAACGGTATCGATTAGTACTTAAAATCTGAGTACTCATACTGGTATCAGTCTGGAAAAAGTGGTCTTTTTTATAGATCAAATGTGAAAGTTGGCCACCTTGCTCAAGAGCAACACTGCCTTGAGTGTCTGTGGATGTTCAAGGAATTGATACTATGACACTTTATTCATAGGCCACACACACACCCCTGGCAGCGACTGCCCACAAATAATTTGATATGTTCACCAAAGAAAACGGATAAATATCTGAGGTCTCAAAAACAATACTGTAGTTGTTGGTACGAGGCGAGCCCTCCCTTCTTCTTTGGAAGGCTCACATACAATGAACTGCATGCTCCTGTCAATTTGACATGAACAAAGCCAGTCATGGGGTAAGTTTTGCACCTGAGAGAATGTCTGGTCGCGTGCTGGCTTCTTGTGAGCAAACTGGAACAGAACATGGTCTAACCAACCTGGCTCCTCCCCTCTCTATGACATCACACACATAAAAGAAACAGACATTACAACGCATACACAATCAATGTGAATAAGACGAGTTCGTCAAATCAACGTGAACGCATCTAAAGATCAACGTGTGCACACAGAAATGTGATGAACATAAAAACAATCGTTAATTACCTTTCTCATTGCAAGTAAAAACAAATTGCGTCACTTGTTGGGTTAATGGGGCAGGTCTTTGAAGTCTTGAAGTCGGCGTGCCGGTGACGTCACAGGTCTGTGACGGCTCGTGAATAATCTGCCAGCAGGGGAGAAACAGTTGGAGTACTGTATCTCCGGGAGTCGCAGAAATAAGGCAACGGAAAGAAGAGTCATTTTATTTATTTATTTAGAAACGTCCAACAACGACAGTCAGAGCTGACATTCATGGGGGCTTCCCTTAGCCTGGTAAGTAATTTCTGTATTTACATTACAAGTCATATTCATGAGAAATACTTTGCTTTGCAATAAGGAACAAGTGTGTCTGTGAAAAGCAACAGGTAGCGAAATGCTACAGCGCAGTTATCTCGGAGCTCTTTTTGAACAATCTTTATTCTCGACCTCCATTTAGCCTTCCGCGGAATTAACGTTGTCGTTGTCCTCTTAAACGCGCTCCAAGTTCAAAGGCTGTGTAATATGCGCAAACCACCAAAAGTAAACAATTAAATGTATTTACAACGGTGCAAGTTCAGTCTTAAGCTCATAATGGGTGAGTCACAACGCGCCAGTCCTCTGTTTGCGAGTGATGAAATGGCTCAACTGTGCTTCGTTGTCTTTACATTAGGCCACGCCAAGCTTATGAAACGTTAAACCCCGAACAAAAGAGGCTGTGCGTGTAATATGGAAGGTTCTAAATAAATTAGATAGATAGACAGATAGATAGATAGATAGACAGATGAGACCGGGATAATTTGTCCGTTTTAGAAAAATGTGTATTTTGAAAATTATGAATGATTTGAATATGAACAATGTGTACACCAGAAGTATGCCAAAGTAAACACTTATGGATGGTTGATTAAATCACACCACATTACAAATTCATTCTATTAGTCAAAATAGAACATTTTGAAAGGTGGCATTTTACCCCACCTTGCAAGGGGAGACGCCCCCTACGCCACAAGTAATTTCGCCTCACGCATGTTTTTAGTAACACCCACCAAAACTAATTTTAACCCACATTTGACAGTTTGGCAGGTGTGTGGAAAAGTAATTGCCCCCTGAACCCAATAATGGTCTGTTCCACTCTTGGCAGCAATAACTTAAATCAAGCATTCGTGATGAGTAATTGGTGAGTCTTTCACATTGCTTTCACATCGCTGTGAATTTTGGCCCACTCTTCTTTGCAGAAGAGTTGCTTAAACTCAGCCCTATTGGAGGGTTTTCTTGCATGAACTGGCCATTTACGGTCACACCACAGCATCTCAATTTGATTCAACTTCGGACTTTGACTTGGCCACAAACCTTAATTTTGTTTTTTTTGTTTTTTTATTCATTCAGAGGTGAACTTTGCTGGTGTGTTTCGTGTCGTTGTCCTGCTGTATAATCCAGGAGTGCTTGAGTTTGAAGGTGCAAACTGATGTTTGGACATTCTCCTTAAGGCCACATATCTTCCAAAAAGTTCAATTTTTGACTCATTTGTCCACTGAATGTTTTTCCAAAAGCCTTGAGGATCATCAAGATGTCTTTTGTGAGACAAGCCTTTGTGTTCTTTTTGGACAGCAGTGGTTTTTGCCTGGGAACTCTGCCATGGATGCCATTTTTGGCCAGTGTCTGTCTTCTGCTAGTCGTGAACACTGACCCGAACAAAGTACCATCTTCTAATCTGCACTGTGTTCGAGATGAGAGCAGACTTCTTCAGCTCTCTTAACTTGCCACTCAATGTAGAAGGTAAGAAGAAGTACCATATGTAGTACAAAGCAGGCAAATGACATTGGCCATGTCATGTTATTTTAGTCTGTGCTGTGATCCTCCAAAAATTAATGGCCATAGTTTGGAGACCCGAAATCATCTGTACCCCTGGCACTGACTCCTACATTTCTAATAAAGACAATGCTGTAATGAGCACGTATGGTGGACGATTGGTTAGCGCGTCTGTCCGCCCCACAGGGTTCGATTCCGGCCTTCCTGGGTTTTCCACGGGCACTCCACTTTCCTCCCACATTCCCAAAAATATGCATGGTAGGTTGATTGGACACAATATTGTCCCTGTGTGCGATTGTGAGTCTAAATGGTTGTTGTGTCTGCATGTGCATTTGCATTTCGGTTGGCTGGCAACCCATTCAGGGGGTACCCCTTAGACTGCCGAGAAAGGCTCCGGCACAGCAGCGAACCTCGTGAGGATAAGTGGTTCGAATAATGGATGTATGGACTGTGCCGTAAAGCTACCTAATGACATTTAACACACTCAGTGGCAGTGCAAATGCCTGTATGTCACACTACAGTCTATAGCAGGGATCATCAAACTTTTTTAGACTGAGAGCTCCTTCTTGGCTTCTGATTAATGCGGAGGGCTACCAGTTTGATTGTATGCACTTTTGAAATACATTTGCTCCAACTACCCTCATATGTTATAATTAATGATATTCATTTCTGAGAAGACACCGATCACATGAGCGATTTCTCACAATGATTATGAAAAAGATAACTATCTGCCAATGTTCACATTTTGAATTGATCACTTCGACAATATTTCTATACCCCTTTCCCACTGAAATTAGTGGGTAGTGGTGATCCGTGGCGACACGCAACCAATTGGCATATTGTCCCTTTCCCATTGACCAACAGAAGGCGATTCTACCCCCCACCCCCCTTCCACCACTTTGCGTCTGGTTACGTCACCACGCTGTGATTGCAGACACTGGCCAACCAGTCAGAGATGAAGAGCCAATTTTTTTACTGTGTTACTGCAGAGAGCCACATCATACCCTGCGCGCGCGCGCACACACACACACACACACACACACACACACACACACACACACACACACACACACACACAAACACACACTTTTTTTTTGGCCAAAGATCGACTTTGGAAGCGACCAACTTCCCACGAACGACCCGATCGCGCACGTGAAAGCATGCACACACACACACATACACACACACCCACACACACACACACACACAC